TTCATTTTTAAACTCCTCTATAATCTTAAATATGTTTTTTTATGTTTGGTTTGTTAAAATCAAGATCTAAATAAGATACTTCTCATATTTGCTTGTTATATTTCTTAAGTCTTTTAAAATTTTTTATTATGGCAGTTTTCAAGCATAAACAAAAATGGAGAAAACTGTCTAAGTAACCTCTGTACGCATCAGCTAACTTCAATCATTTTCAATGTTTTGCCAATCTTATTTTATCTATTCCCTTACACGTACACACACACATTTTTTAAAAATTTTTTGTAAAGGCTAGTCAAGTGAAGCAGTGGGAGTGGAAAAGGAACAAAGGAATATGTAACTGGTTATGATTAATTAGTTGTACAAAACCACTGCACTTGGACCAGCCACATACACATTTTAAAAAATTGAGGTAAACATGCATAACGTAAATTTACTTTTGTGACCATTTTTCAGTGACATTAAGCACATTCACAATGCTGTGCAACCATCACCACTATCCATTTCCAGAACTTTTTCATGGTCCCAAACAGAAACTCTGTACCCATTCAACACTAACTCTCCATTCCCCACTCCCCGCAGCCCCTTGTAACATGTGTTCTACTTTCTGTCTCTCTGAATCTGCCTATTCCGGTACCTTACATAAGTGGAATCATGCAGTATGTGTCCTTTTGTGTCTGGCATATTTCACTTAGCATAGTGTCTTTAAAGATCATCCATATTGTAGCATGTGTCAGAATTTTAAGGCTGGCACACCCACGTTTTTAAGTCAGATTCAGGTTTAATTGTTTCAGCAGAAATACTTCATAGGTGTTGGTGCTGTGTGTTTCATATCACATCAAATAATGAGGCATGTGAAGTTGTCCTACTTAAGTGATGCTAAGAATAATCAACGATGGATTTAGCTATTTACAACATGATCCTTCCATTTTGAAGTTCCACTTCACTTTCTGTCTAATGGTTTCATCCACTGGGGACATCCACAGGAATCTATTATTTCATTAGAGGTTGCAAAAATAGCAATTTTCTAATTCTTTTAAACCTTCGGCATTCATTAGCTGGGAATGTCATTACCTGTCATTACCTGTCTCAATCACCTCATTCCTATTTCTTTCTGACGCTAGGTTGTCCCATCTTTGGCTGTTGGGAGCCCCTTCATGAGTGTTTCTATGTCCTTTAGTCAGGGCCCGTTGTCTTTGATTTCCGGGATAAACTGTTTCGGATTCATTTTGTGTATTTACTGCCCCAGAGGTAGAATCACTCATTTTTCTAAGGAACTTTGGTTCCTTTTAGTGGGGGATGAATATGTATCTTTTAAAATTAATTTACTCTTAGCTCATTTGCATGATTCCCCAATATACCTCAAACCTCTCAAAACTTGTCCATGACTTATGTGACATCAAAATTGCTGACATTGTGAATTCACTGGGTGCTTACTGTGCGTAAAGCACTGTTTTAAGTAAGAAAAATACCAAGATTAAAAAGACATATTCCTTGCCTTCCAAGAACTTACTATCTAATGGAAGAAATAGTCACATCACAAGTAACTACTACAATACAAGGCCAACCTGTGATAAGAACATAATAGAACTCGAGTCTGGATAAAATCCAAACTCCTTAACCTGGAATATAGCCCTTTTATGATCTGGTTGCAGCCTCTATCTTATTTATTCATTCATTCTAAGGTTCCTGCCCTTAAGGAGCATACTACATAATAGGGCAGCAAATAGTCAAAACAAGCAATCATAATATAGACTGGTAAGTACTACAAGATGTATAAGCATAGGATGTTATGGAGGGGTCCCTCCTGTCTTAGTTTTGAGGGGTCGAGAAAGATCTTTTTTTTTTTTTGAGACACAGAGTCTTGGTCTGTCACCTGTGCTAGAGTGCCGTGGCATCAGCCTAGCTTGCAGCAACTTCAAACTCCTGAGCTCAAGCAATCCTCCCACCTCAGCCTCCCCAGAGTGCTAGGATTACAGGCGTGAGCTACCATGCCCAGCCTGAGAAAGATCTTTAGAGAAAAGCATAAATAAGCTAAGACTTGATGAGTTGAAGGGATTCAGGAAGGGGAAGAAGAGTAGAGAAGAGGGTTCCAGAAGAGGAGCCATCATGATAGGGCCCAGAGAGAAGAGAACAGGGAGCTTTCTGAGAACTTCGAGTTCATTTGGAGCAGGGGCTTAGGGCAGGAGTGAGGAGGGACACAATAGTTGAGGATAAAAAAATAAAAAGAGGCATCATGAACGTCTTCATAAGCTGTTAGAGTTTAGACTTTCACTTAAGGGCAATGGGAAGCCATTCAAAGGCTTTCAGGGAGGACTTACAGATCAGATTTGTGCTTCGGAAAGATTCCTCTGTTGTAATGGAGAATGGGCTGCAGAGAAGCAAGAGTGAAGTCAGAGAGACCAGCTAGGAAAATACTGTAGGAACCCAGAACAGAGATAATTGGGCCTGAGCAAGGGGCAGTGGAAAGAAGTGGGTGTTATGCAGATATACTAGAGGTGCAATAAATCACATGATGATTGGCTGCTGAAGGGGAGATAAGAGGTAAGTGTGACATCCAGAACTCCAGCCTGAGTGATCTGGGGATATAATGGCATCATTTCCTGTGTTAGAAACAAGAGGAAGGTCAGGTTCCAGAAGGAAGCTGCTGAGTTCCCTTTTGAATATGCCAACTTAAAGTTCCTGTGAGACATATATAAGATGTCCAGTGGATACTTGTGTTTGCAGACCTCAAACTCAGGACAGACAGCGGAGGCAAAGGCATACATGTGACAGTCAGCCACACACACGACACAGAGTTAGGAGAGGCAGAGGAGAGAAAAATCCCCCACGCAACTCTGTCATTTCATCACTCCTTACCTATATGGCTTTTGACTTCCGGTAGCAGGATTGAACTCACTGGCACATAGGGGATCTTGTAAAAGCGTAGCTTTCTGAAAGAGGAAAAAAGTGGATATTGTTGGAATTTTTGTTTACCAAAAATCAATTCAGTTTGGTTTATGTCCTTTCGGGCATATAAAGACATATTAATTATAACATATACATTTATAGGATTTATATATTATATATTTTTATAACATGTATACTTAATCCTAGATAAATTATATCACATATTAATCTGGAACTTGATTTTTTTCATTTAACATATAGTGGGCAGTTTTTCATGTCTGCATATATAGATTTACTTCAATCTTTATAATGATTACCTAGTACTCCACAGTCTAGATATACAATACTTTTGTTAACTATTCCCTTATTAATGAAGTTATTTTTTCCTTAAATCTTTAGTGTTGCCATTTCCTATTTATTCTGGGTCCTCATAACAGACGTGTAGTGTTCAGCAACTTCTCTAAATAATCTTTTATTTATGTTGAGGCTTAACACACAGGTCAGAAGGAATTTCTGATTTGCAACTCCCAACAAGTTTAACCCTATCTGTGCACCCTATGTGTGCTTTTTCTTACTACTTTTGTCATTGTTATACATTCAAAAAAAAAAAAAAGCTGCCCTTTGTTCCCTCTCCAGATGTTTATGCTTTCTTTAAATCTAGAATTTTAATTCAGGGTATCCTTTAATTATTTAGCTTTTTAGCAGCTATCTTCACAACATATAAAGGGAAAAGAATTACCGCATTTCATCTTTATAGAATTTGAGATGCTAAACCACCCAGATGTAATTATTTTTGATGAAAGTTACAGATAAAATGGGCTACTGAAGGAGTCTCAACTCTTTGGAAATGTTTCAAATCAGGATGAGTGCTAATAATTTCTCTTTGGATGGTTTGAGTTAATTTTACCTAAAAGAATAGAGAAATTCCTTTTCTCAGGAACATTTCTCTGCTTCAACATGAAGGCTCACTCTGGATCTCAAGGCATGAGAGATCAGTTTACCAAAGATAAGTCTTACTGACTTAGGATATGATTTTTTTTCAATTTCCTAAAACTTATCAATATATCACCAAGACTAACTGAAGGTGACCAACCTGATAAAAGAATTCAACAGTCACAAAAAAGTCACAACTTTTAAAGAGCTTATTTTGAATTAATATCATACTATTACTACAATGAATGCTACTTTGATTTATCATTTACATGTGAAATATCTGTTTATTCATTTTCCATCTTTCAAGGGATAGAACATTTTTTTAAGTTTTTTTTTAATCTTCAGAGATGGGGGTCTCACGGTGTTGCCCAGGCCAGTCTCAAACTCCTGGCCTCAAGCAGTCCTCCCACCTAGCATTTATAGGTATGTGTGGAGGCTCATACCCCTAAGTGCTAGGATTACAGGTGTGAGCCCCTGCACCCAGCTCATGTTAGTTATTGCTATTGCATTTATTATTGGAAGGACGATATATAGCTTTAAGGTAATGAGCTGACCAATCTGACTTGCACCAACCATGCCTCTGCTTGCAGAATTAAAAAGTAGTACTAAAACTTGAAGTTGGTCAATTCAGGGAAGCATAAACAGTTATTTTGAATGAAATACATAGATTTTTTAAAAGCCAATTAAGTTTTGGCTTTTCTATTTGAATATATGAGATCAGGGGAGGAGTCCTTGTTTTCTTTTTTAATTTATTTTTTAGAGTCAGGGTTTCACTCTATCACCCAGGATGGAGTGTGGTAACCCAGTCATAGCTCACTATAACTTGAAACTCCTGGGCTTAAGCAATCTTCCTGCCTCAGCCTCCCAAGTAGCTGGTACTACAGGCATGTGTCAACATGCCTGGCTAATTTTTAAATTTTTTTAAGCCCCGC